CCCCATTGCTGCCCGTTCAAAAGCCCGGTACAGATGAGTATCGACCTGTGCAGGACTTGAGAGCAGTCAATGATGCGGTTGTTAGTATACATCCAGTCGTGCCCAATCCGTATAACCTGCTTGCTTTAATTCCGGGCGGGGCTACTTACTTTACAGTCTTAGATCTCAAAGATGCCTTCTTTTGCCTCCGAATTGCCGTAGAGAGCCAATGTATCTTTGCTTTCCAATGGGAAATGCTGTAACGGGCTCGAAACGCCAAATGACCTGGACAAGATTGCCCCAGGGGTTTAAAAATTCACCTACCCTATTTGGTTCAGCTCTAAGTCAAGATCTACTAGATTTCGAGTCTATCCCAGGAGAGTGTGTATTATTACAATATGTAGATGACTCGTTGATAGCAGCAGTTACAAAGGAAGTATGTCAGCAAGCAACGCACGATCTACTACACATTCTCTGGAAGGCAGGATACAAGGTGTCAAGAAGGAAGGCTCAGTTGTGTTTGCCGACTGTCAAATATCTGGGATTCCATATCTCTGAAGGTCAAAGAATTATGGGGCCAGAGAGAAAAGAAGCTGTGTGCCAAATACCGATACCCAGGAATAGAAGACAAGTGCGAGAATTCTTTGGGGCAGCAGGCTTCTGTAGGATATGGATTCCCAGCTACGCGATACTGGCAAAACCTCTGTATGCAGCTATCAAAGGTACAGAGCACGACCCCTTCTTATGGACTCAAGAACAGCAAACGGCATTCGAAGATGTGAAGAGGGTTTTGATGAGTGCCCCAGCATTAGGTCTACCTGACCACACACGGCCATTCTACCTGTATGTACATGAGCAAAGAAGAATGGCTGTGGGAGTATTGACACAGTACTTGGGATCATGGCAAAGACCTGTTGCCTACATGTCTAAGCAACTGGATGCAGTGGCCAGCTGACTTCCACCTTGTCTAAGAGCTGTAGCTGCAGCCGCCCTGCTAGTAGCTGAAGCCGATAAACTCACTCTGGGTCAAGAACTTTATGTACGAGTTCCACATGCAGTACAGACGTTGTTGGATTGCAAAGGAAATCATTGGTTTAGTAACAGCCGTATGACCAAGTATCAAGCAATGTTGTGTGAAAACCCAAGAGTGCATTTAGAGACTGTAAATACCTTAAATCCAGCTACCCTTTTGCCACAACCTACTGAAAGTCAACATGATTGTTTGGAAGTAATGGATGAAGTACTTTCAAGTAGACCAGATCTTCGTGATTTTCCCATCCAGAACCCTGATGTTCAATATTACACCGACGGCAGTAGTTATGTAAAAGAAGGGATCCGCTATGCAGGATATGCAGTAACAACGATAGACAAGGTGATAGAAGCTCGGCCACTGGCAAAAGGAACATCAGCACAAAAGGCAGAATTGATAGCACTGACACGAGCGATACAATTGGCTGAAGGTTTAAGAGTGAACATCTACACGGACTCCAAGTATGCGTTTTTAACCACTCATGCCCACGGAGCTTTGTATAAAGAAAGAGGACTATTGAATTCAGAAGGCAAAGAAATCAAATACGCAGCTGAGATCCTACAACTATTGGAAGCAGTGTGGGAGCCGGAAGAAGTCGGTATTATACATTGTCGGGCGCATCTGAGAGGAGATGGTGATGTAACCAAAGGGAATCGGATGGCAGATAGTGCAGCTAAGCGTGCTGCTGAATCAGGAAGACAGGAATATGTGGGCATATAGCTGCTCTTATACCAACTCCACTGTCTCAATGGACTCCAATTTATACAGCTCAAGAAGAGGAGTGGTTAAGGACTGAACCTGGAAAGTATTTGGAGAACAAATGGTATCAGTTAGAAGATGGAAGAATAGTTATTCCAGCATCACTAGCGGTAGAAATTGTCCAAAACTATCATAACGGGACACACTCTGGGAGAGACAGTACAGAAGAATCTCTCAGAAAACATTTCTACATACCAAGATTGTCCAACTTGACTCAGGCCATTGTACGTAGATGTGTAACGTGTGCTAAAAATAATGCAAGATAAGGACCAGTAAAGCCACCAGGAGTCCAGTTTATGGGGGGACTTCCCATGTCCGATTTACAAATTGACTATACAGTGATGCCTAAATCGGGTGGACATCGCTACCTGCTGGTAGTGGTGTGCACCTATTCAGGCTGGGTAGAAGCATGTCCTACTCGTACAGAGAAAGCAGGAGAAGTCGCGAGATTCCTGCTACGAGAAATAATACCCCGATATGGACTACCCTGCTCTATAGGATCGGACAATGGTCCAGCTTTTGTTCATCAGTGCCTACAACAATTGACTCATATGCTTGGTATAAAGTGGAGGCTTCATACGGCATATAGACCCCAGAGTTCTGTAAGGTAGAGAGAATGAATAGAACTATTAAGAATCAGTTGGCTAAAATGTGTCAGGAAACCCAACTTAAGTGGAACGTTCTCTTGCCCATAGCTCTATTGCGAATCCGTAGTGCACCTACCAGAAGGATGGGCCTCTCTCCTTTTGAAATCATGTACGGGCGACCACCTCCCGTGCTTGGTAACTTAAGGGGGGATTTGAGTCAGTTGGGAGAAGGAATTACCCGGCAGCAGGTTGTGGAGTTGGGTAAGACCATGGAGGAGGTACAGAAATGGGTACAAGATAGATTACCTGTGAATATTTATCCCCCAATTCATAGTTACCACCCA